AAAAGGTGCGCATTAGATTCGAGTAATTACGGTACTTTACAGTAAAAGAACTGCATTATTATTGTGATAGCAGTTATATGGACATTTTCAGCGGGTTTTTGCCATCACCACCATGTTCCTTAACAAGTACGGATTCATCACATGCCCCCGCGCATAGCAACTTTCACGAGCGGGTAAAAGCACAAGAGCACTCGCAGAGAACAAATGAGTTCCCTATCACTTGGAAAGTGCATAAGATAACATCTCCCGTGTGTTAAAATTGCCGTCGAATATTCAAAGTAAACCGTCTCAAACAAGCGCGAAACTACGCGGGGAGGAGGGGGGGGGGGGGATTACTCAAGCAGCAATAATGAACTTGGACTTTAAGGGTAATCCCAATCACTGCCGCGCTTGCCATCTCGCGAGTATCAGTGCGGTTTCTACGTGAAAGGATGGTGTGAATAGAGCACTTCAACCTGGAGCGGCAGTATTAGCTCACACTAGCGTTTTGTAAGAGCTTCGCGATATCAGATCCGAAAGAGTTAGCTGCCAGCTTTACTTTTTATAACATATTTTTTTTTGCTATCGCGTTCATTGCATTGCATTAAACGCACCGTCCTGTTGCCATAATAGACTAATTACGAAAGCTACCAGCCAGTGAACTCGCGGCGCAGCGAAAAATGGAAGCGCGTGGCGAGTCGTGCTCCGAAGATCCGTTGTCACCATGGTCTCGGCAAGTTTCCATCAGCGCCTAATCTGACAACCGCTCGGTGGTAACGACACGGTTTTCTGAAATTAAATAAAGTCGCAGTTTTGCCGCAAGGGCGAAGCAATGACAACTTGGAATGTAACGCCCAATAGATCCCGATGATTCTGCGCACTCTAAGATAGTTAAATGAGGAATTGCTTCACTTTGCCTAGAATCTTCGTTGACTAAGTCGTGTCCACACCACATGCGTACTAGTTTTTATGTTCAGATCAGCCGATTGACGGCGGTGGGCTTCCCTTCGGCGGTCATAAACACGGTCGCCGAGTCACTACTGCAGAAGATGAAACGTAGAACACAAGGGGTGAAGCTGCTCGGGATCCATTGGGTTCCAAGCCACAAGTGCTGCCGTACTTACACAAGCTCTCCCATAACCTTAAGAAGGTTGCTGCTAGGCATGGTGTCACTGTGGTCTTTACGGCGCCAGATAAGCTAGCCAAGTTGTGTCCGCGCATTTGCAATGGCAAGAGACTCGGTTGCCGGAAGAAACATGAGAAAGTCTTCGTCAAATGTTCCATGGGAGTTGTATACTCGATTCCTTTATCCTGTGGTAATGTGTACATCGGCAAAACCGAGAGATGCCTGAATGACCGGCTTAGGGAGCATGCGCTGAAAATTAAGAGAAACGAGGATAAGTACGCACATCTTGTGGCACATACCGCTGCATGTGGGTGTGAACCACAATTCACAGACACGCAGGTTCTCAGAAGAAGCTACAATTTATCTGCACGTTTGCTGTTGGAAGCATATTATATAGACAAAAATAAGGACATCTGTGTTAGCGAGCCGTCTTTGGTGATACATAAACAGGAGATATCTTTTCTCGACGCAAGGATTTAGTGCTTCTATAGCTGGTGTTTCCTGCTTTTCGTATTTTTTCTTACTTGTTCCTTTTTTTGTGTGTGTGGTCGTGCTATATTCATCACGATTGCCCGCGCGGGTGAGGTTGCGCTTTTGTTAAAGGCTTATCACATGTGCCGCTTTGTTCTTTGTTGGCTTTGTGCCCTCTGTTGTACGTATATAAAGTCTTTTCGGTGCAATAAACAGTTGATAGTGAGCGCTGTATGCTGTGTGTGTTACTCGGTTGGTTGTGTACGTGAATGTGTCAGTGTTTGCGAAAGTCGAGGTTGCGCTAAATATCTTACAATATGAGGAGAAATCCACACTGCTGGGAAGCTCCACCTCAAGGATGAACAGGTCACCCTCACATTGATTCATTTTTAAAATATAAAAGCTTGTTATAATGGCTTATATGCTGTGAGAATTGTAAGTTTTAAAACATAACATATTTTACAGGTCATAACTTGCATTCTACCGAAAGCAAATCCTGCAACTATTTAAAGGTGCTTGGACTTTTTGTAACGGGGTTTATTTGCAGAGCAGAACGCAGAAGGCAAAGCAGTCAGCAGCCTCCGGACAAGCACAGCAAGCACGAGCTTATGCTGATGGCGATGCCCCTGAGGCGCCGAGAAATGCCGCTGAGGCCCCTCTTCTTCACTACATTTTTTTTTTTTTTTTGAACCAAGAAGAATGGTATTTTCACACACCTTGTTTCAATTTTTTTTTTGTAAACATTGTCCCGGGGTCGTGATGTGGACGAAGAGAGCAGGCTGCAGGTCGAAGATAAAACTGTTTATCTGGGCCGAACCTATGGCCAGGAAATTGGAGGCCAGATTACAGCAACGCAAGGGCACTGCAGTAGCGGCAAACAGAGCGTCGTCAGCTGGCGGTCAACTGACAAGCAGCGAGGCGGGTCGGCATTTGTACACTCGCCATCGAATATTCTAGCATCATCGCTAGCAAGGACATAGATTCCAGAATAATCTGTGACGTTCCCAAAGTGGGCGTAACCTTAACACAATAATCTACTGTTGTCCCGTAGCTTCTCGAACAGTGTCAGCGTGGTTTGCGCTGAGAATTATTCGCAGTAAAATAAGGTGATAACAAAATATGAGGAGAGAATGTGGCAATATTGTGCAGGATTGTTGGGTCATGACTAATGTGTCCATTTTCCCTTATCCTAAGAGATATACGTATATTATTTGAATTTGATTGAAGACCATTCGACCAAATCACTACTATTCGCTTCAAATTTGCTTTAAGCCTAATATAACCTATCTGCACAAGCCTAAATAATATAAATCTTATCTCACAAACGTGTGGAAAACGAGTTATGCTTCCAGAAAGCACAAGAACTGGTACCGTAATTACTCGAATCTAATGCGCACCCTTTTTCCGGTTAAGCGAGTTCATAAATCGCATGCGCGTTAGAATCGAGTACGAAAAAGAAAAATGAATACGGTCATTCTATTGCCATCGGCATTTCCAAAATGGCCACCACCTACGTGCGTCGGCCATTTCTGCCTATGTGTTTCCCATGTGCGGCACTTCGTACGTGTGCTGAGGAGTTCGTCATCTTGTAGTGCATTAGCATCGACGGCATGGAAGGGCCGACCCCAAAAAGTCGAGTGCACCACGATGCCGCTTTTAAAAGAAATGTCATCGCGTGTGCAGAAATGAACGGGAATCGGGCCGCATCGTGGTCGTTCGGAGTTCCCGAAACGTGCGTGCGGGACTGGTGGAAACAAAAGCAGGAGATTGTTGACAGTAAAGCTTCACGCAAAGGCTTCAGTGGACCACAGCGGGGTCGGTTTTCGCAAATTAAAGAGCTGCTCGGCAAGTATATGCTTGAGCAGCGAGCGGCACAGCGGCCCGTGACGACAGAACTGCTCCAAGTGCGGGCTATGCAATTAGCCTTAGAAAAAGGTCTAATGCGGAGCCAGTTTAAAGCGAGCAGGTGCTGGCTAACTAACTTTATGAAGAGGAAAGGCTTTTCCCTCCAAAGGGGAACGGGCATATGCGAAAAGTTTAGCGGAGGAGTACAATGAAAAGCTTCACATTTTTCAGAGGTTCGTCCTAAACTTGCGGCACAGCGACGGCTACCTGCTTGGGCAAATGGGGAATGCCGATCAGACGCCTCTTTACTTTGACATGCCTGGCACCACAACCGTCGAGAAGAAGGGGGTGAAGCAAGTTCGCGTGCTGACATCGGTCCACGGTAAAACTATAGTGACGGCAATGCTCTGTTACACGTCAGATGGGCACAAGCTTCGCCCGTACCTCATATTCAAATGGAAGACACTCCTGAAAGGAGTCGTTTTTTCGAGTGGTGTGATTGTGGGGGCCAGCGAGGAAAATGGGTGCGCGTTGCAATCGATGTCTTACGTTGTTTTTTTTTTTTTTTCCGTCGTAGAAATCGGGTGCGCGCGTTACAATCGAGGGTGCGGTAGAATTGAGTAAATACGGTAGGTGCCAATTGCAAGTATAAATATAAATAAATATAAGGGTGCCTCCAACATACACTTCCTTGCCTTCTATCTGCTGATTTTAACTTGTTTACCTGCACTCATGAGGAACTTTGTTCTGTGCACAAGAATGCCCCATAAAATACCTTCTTGGTGCTGCTAAACTTCAAATAGAATGTTTTTTCTCCCTTCTCAATATATGTATTGTTTCTACGGTTCCTTGTGATTTTGTGAGTCCTGCCTTTATTCGACACATAATTGTCTTAAATGTGTGTACTCATGCATGTGATAAGGAAGTACTATGTGCTATTGCTAAGTATATGCACCTATGACTCTGCTCCCTCTTTTGTTGTCTGTCTTGTGATGTATTGTGCTGGGTATTTTATTTGAAACAGGAATTCGTTATCTGTGACCAGTGTTGCCACTGTTACCTGTCACTGTTGCCTTGTACATTGGTTGCAGCTCTGTAATGCTCTTTATGACAGATTTTTCTATAGCTCCTTGCATTTTTTGCAGCAAAAAGGAAATCATCGGCAGAATTACTACCAATTATTATTATTGTCAACATATGTGTACTTGTTTGTTTTGAATATGTTGAAATTTCAGAAATCTTAAATTCATGTGGGAGTGAACTTGTATACTGTAGCATTTGTATGAACACTTGAAACACTTAATTAAGTAATTAGTATTGGGCCAGTGTTAATGCTCACCACCAATGCGGTCTCAGCTAAGACCATACAATGTCCACAAGCAAGAGCTCAACTCCTGTCAAAAGTGACCCCATAGAGCAGTGCACCGATTCTCTGCAGGCAGAGTGATAGTCCAGGGATAGTGATTTACAACTCACTGCCATGCCATGCAAGGAGGTAAGGTCTTGGAAGTCTAAAATAATGTTGCAAGAGCTCAAACTCTTCAGGAATGTAATAAAAAGACATCACAATGTTTCTAACCTCTGGGGATAGCTGCTCCTCGAGGAAACGTAACGGCTCTGAGCGAGGTAACCCACGGCTCAGCACAGAGGGTGCCACCTTCAGGAGAAGCTCCTTGGCCGGACGGCCCACGCAGTCGCTCACAAGCTCTACAGCACCGGTGTCGCAGCAATCCACCACCGCAGGCAAGACGTGAACCCAGTGGCACCTGTCGCCACACAGCAGATCAAGCTTTCAGAGAGCCCAGAGTTGGAAATGAGTTCGAGGGCATCATAGCGGTCAAAGCCACACTGTAAAAATTCTGTAACTGAGCCATTTTCTACCAACTAGAGCAACAGCCCTTTAAACCAATCATAGCGGACCTTTCAAAATGATATCCAGTATAGAATCCAAGGCTGTCGTGCAAGACGTATCTTAGCAAGAGATGCAGCCATTAACACTGTGGTCGACATGAAAGATGTACTGGGAGAATGATGCGCCAGCTTTCTCAAAGCACAAGGCCTGCACGTTCACCATAACTGCTAGGCTGTCCCCCCTGAATGAGATCAGTAAGCACATGGCAGCAGAACCTATTCCCCGTCAGTGTAGGTAGTCATTCTATGCAGTGCTGATAGGCATTTGTCACTTTATGCACCAAGTTGAGTGCTGTGTTCAATCTTATACGGCCTTCACAAGTTCAGATTTCCTTAAACATAAAGCAATAACCCCTGAGAAGTTTTGAAGCCAATGCTAGCAATAATATCCACAACATTAAAAATTCAAAGGCTTACTTCCAGAACTGTGTGGCCGATGAGCAGCCGAGCGCCGTAATGGGCAGTAAATCCAGGGGCAGCCCTTGCTTTAGCCAATAGTAGACAACAGCGGGTAGGTGCACCATAGCCCAGGGCTCTTGCTTGCTGTCCGCAAAGCCAAGAACCTGCACGGTAGGGATTTGCGAGCCAGTTAAGACAACCACCTCAATTTATTCGGGATCCTTCCTAAAGTTGATGCCAAATCACCAACACAATGTTAACAAAGCACAGGTCTGGCTAAAGTCAAAGTATATTTCCTGAGGAAGAGTCCTTCATTTGCACGTAATGCAGAATTTGTCGATAAACAGATGCTGTTATAACTAATTACGCCAGGAAGGAGGAATAACTGTTTTGGTTTTCATTTGATGCAGCTGTTGCCACAATTATAGTACAGACGAATCTCGATAATTCGAACCCGAAGAGGCCTGAAAATTTGTTCAAATTAAAAGAAGTTCGAATTAATGAAAGCTAAGTAAACGGAGGGCTCCCCATGCAGTGGCGCATGTGCATTGATCTAACACACGAGGGGGAAGTTTAAGAAGACTTACATTTATTCACAAACCACAGGACATCCGTCATTAATTGAAATAATCGGTGATGCACGTCTGCACATGTTTGCCTTCCAGCGAGTCAATCAATTTCGAACGTAGCTTGCAAAGCATTTCTACTTCGGCTTCAGCTTTCTCCTGGCAAGAGAAGTTGCGCGCGGCAATGTCCAGCGCCGACACTTGAAGACGACAACAACAACTGCATCGCCACTACCACCCTCTGCGCCAAAGCCGCAGTGTGGCCAGCAGGTGACAAGAAAAGAGGAACGTCTCCATGCGGAGAGAAGCAGATTGGCATTTGCGATAAACCAACACTCCATGGCAGCTTTTTTTTTTTTTTTTTTTTTTGCTCTTTTCGCGTGCGTTGTTGAAAGGAGAAGGGTTACGTCGCAGGGACTGGAAAGGGGGAAGCATGGCACCAGCGCATGAGAGAACCACACACCGCGACAGCTTTTTTTTTTTTCTCTTTCTCTCTTTGTGCATGGCGTTGGAAGGAGAAGGGTCTTTACGTGGCAGGGGTGGAAAAGGGAGAAACGTGACACAGGCGCATCGCAGATCGGCATTTGAAAGAGAGCAAGCAGTTCACCGCAGCCTTTCCTTTTCCTTTCCTTCGCGCTCAGCGTAGAGGTGCCGAAGGTGCCGCCACGGGATTGGGCGGGATGCTGACAGCATTTTCGGAGCGCGGTATCTTTGAATTAACCGTCAAAAGTGCTCGCGCATTCAAATTACCGAGCGTTTTCGCTCATTGCAATACACATAGCTTTGACGGGACCTCACTGCGAGTTCGAATCAACCGGAAGTTCGAATTAAGTGTGTTCGAATTAATGATATTCGACTGTACAAACATATCACTGTGATGAAAGGGGCTAGTTGGTTCATGTTGGCTTTTGCAATGCACTCTCGGTAGGGACACATTACAAAGCACACAGGACACAGTGTTAATAGAACGAGCATAAACTTCAGCTGGTTTTTTTTATCAATGCGTAGTCGATGAAAATCAATATTCACACAGGAATGTACAAAGAGATCACAAGAAATGTAAAGAGACTTCAGCTGAACCCTTTATAAGAGACACTGACATAAGAAACAAATCATATAAGAGACACCAGCATGCCTACACTAAAGTATGGGTTGATAAGAAAATGCATACAAGGTATGCTGCTTATATGAGACATCTCATTTAAAAAACAAGAACTGCTGCCCAGAGCATGCCTCTAATAAAGGGGTTTAACTATAGTACATTTCATTCCACCTACATGACATCCATCACGAAATTCATTTCAGCAGAAAATAGCTTTAATAATGGCTCCCTGATGCATGTTTCAGTGCCCAGAGATGCCATAACAGCGAGTTTGTACACTACCATAATTACTCAAATCTAACGCCCATCTTTTTTCCGGTTATGCGAGTTCATAAATCGCATGCGCGTTAGAACCGAGTACGAAAAAAAAAAAAATGAATACGGTCATTCTATTGTCATCGGCATATCCCAAATGGCCGCCCCCATGGCGCGTCGGCCATTTCTGCCTATGTGTTTCCCATGTGCGGCACTTCGTACGTGTGCGGAGGAGTTCGTCATCTTGTAGTGCATTAGCAAAGGCACTGCGCCGTGTCGCCTGTAGGCAGACAGAAATTAGGTGGCTTCTTTCTTTTCCTCAAGAACCACCAGACAGTCTGCATTAGCATCGACGGCATGGAAGGGTTGACTCCAAAAACTCGAGTGCACCACGATGCCGCTTTTAAAAGGAAAGTCATCGCGTGTGCAGAAACGGACGGAAATCACGCCGCATCGCGGTCGTTTGGAGTTCCCGAAACGTGCGTGTGAGACTGGGGGAAACAAAAGCAGGAGATTGTCGACAGCAAAGATTCACGCAAATGTTTCATTGGACCCCAGAAGGGTCGGTTTCCGCTAATTGAAGAGCTGCTCGGCGAGTATGTGCTTGAGCAGTGAGCGGCACAGCGGCCCGTGACGACAGAACTGCTCCAAGTGCGGGATATGCAATTAGCCCTAGAAAAAGGTCTAATGCGGAGCCAGTTTAAAGCGAGCAGCAGGTGCTGGCTAATTAACTTTATGAAGAGAAAAGGCTTTTCCCTCCGAAGGCGAACGGGCATATGCAAAAAGTTTTGCGGAGGAGTGCGATGAAAAGCTTCACAGTTTTCAGAGGTTCGTCCAAAAAAACTTGCGGCACAACAAAGGCTACCTGCTTAGGCAAATCGAGAATGCCGATCAGACGCCTCTTTGCTTCGACATGCTTGGCACCACAACCGTCGAGAAGAAGGGGGCAAAGCAAGTTCGCGTGCTGACATTGGTTCACGGTAAAACTACAGTGACGGCAATGCTCTGTTACACGTCAGATGGGCACAAGCTTCCCCCGTACCTCATATTTAAATGAAAGACGCTCCTGAAAGGAGTCGTTTTTTCGAGTGGTGTGATCTTGCGGGCCAGCGAGAAAAATGGGTGCGTGTTGCAATGGATGTCTTACTTTTTTTTTTTCGTCGTGGAAATCGGGTGCGCGTTACAATCGAGGGCGCGGTAGAATCGAGTAAATACGGTAATCTCTTCCCATTTTCTATTATCCGCTTCATCATCGTAGTTTTTTTTTAACTGAGGTACGCATGTGCATTGGTTACAGAAAGTAGCTGAATTCCCGGGGTGGGTAATGTGTTAACAATTATATCTGTGTTCTCTTAGCTTAGTGTTAAGAGCCCACATACGGCGGCCCCACTTGAAATGAACTTTCGCTTAAAACAAACAATACCTGCATGACCATAAAAGTATACGTTATTTCAATAGCACGAAATCGCACTTACTACAAACGTCTCTGAGCGTTGCCAATCGGTTTCAGTGAACAAAGTTGGCGCTCTAGCGATTTCCCGGTAAATCCTTTCGACCACCCATAAGTTATCAGTGACTCTGCCCTCGAAGCCCTCTAGTTGTCGCTCTCCCCGGTCGTTTTTTGTAATGCCCCCCTCTGTCCTTTGTCACCTCACTACTTTTAGCACCCCGCATCGCCAGGCGAGGCTCGTGTTTTCACACTGCCACCGATCTTTCGAAGACCAGTCAGCCAAAGTTTTTGATCATTGGTGTTGTTACACTTTTGTTGGCGTCGTTGGCCTGGAGTGACCAGACCACTGCCAACATCGTTGGCCATCAACTGTACTCAATTATCTGCGCCTGTGTCTTGTCTGCATCGGTGTTGTATTAAGTGTGAATACACTTTATAAGCGACCCCAAACCATCCACCGCCGTCGGCGGCGTCTGCAGTCTTCTCTCTATCTTTAAAAGAAAGAGGACTTGGCGGGCCGCAGCGTGACGCTCTACCGAATAAGCCACGGACGCGACGCTGATATCCCCCTTCGCTCGCTCCTCCGCTCTCCTCGCTCGCTGTAGCTGCGCGCGCACCCCTCTCTCTCGCGCGCCCGCCTTCTCTCTCAGTCTCCCGTCGAGAGCGGGTCGTGCGATGGATGTCCCGGAGGCAACGCTACCATCAACAACGAATGCAGTACAACCGAATGCCAGCACTGCACCCGTCGTTGGAGGTGACAGTACCGCGGTGGTTTCGCCGACGTTGGAAGACAAGGCGGCACTGCGAAGGGCTCGTGAGACCCAACGTAAGCGGGCGAAGCGTGCAGCGGGTGCCGAACTGCGTGCTCGCGAGGCCGAGTGCAAGCGGGCGAAGCGTGCAGCGGATGCCGAACTGCGTGCTCGCGAGGCCGAGGACAAGCGGGCGAAGCGTGCAGAGGATGCCGAACTTCGCGCTTGCGAGGCCGAGGACAAGCGGGCGAAGCGTGCAGCAGATGGTGAACTGCGCGCTCGCGAGGCCGAGATAAGGCGTCAGCATCGAGCCGCGAACGCGGCCCAAGAAGCGGAACGACAACGCGTCAGGCGGAGAAGGGCGATGAAGGCCGGCGTCAAAACGCCGCTCACAATCGTCAACGGCGAGTGGACGTTCCCGAAGTCGTTCGAGCCAGTGAACGTGCCGCGCGGGAGAGGGTGCGAGCCCTGGACTTTGCTCGTCCGGGGCTCGCATGCTATGAGGGGGAGTAAAGTTAAAATCCGTTGGCATTCGCCAGTGAGTTAACGTAAACTCCACCGTGTGATCAAATTGCGATTCCCAGGAACCATTACACCATAAAGGCACCATAGTGTGAATAATAAATATAATAGTGCGAATTAATAAATACCCCTCATAGCATCACCCCGTGCATTCGCACTTAACCATGTTCACCCTCGGGGAAATGCTTGGGAGTTTTTTGTTTCAGTTCACCCGCTTGCGCTACCCCTTAGAATTTGATAATTCGCGATTCGTTCCGTGTTTGGGTCCTGTTCTCGTCATTTCACAATCGACCCAGCATGACCTCCAGTGACCTCCAGACGCATTTGAAGTGTAAAAAAACAATTTTCACACGGAATAAATAGTGAATTATCGAAGTCAGAGGGGCCACGCAAGTCCGCCAGTGCCTCAACGTGCCTCAATCCGAAGGGTGCTCATTGCGCGATCTCGCTGGTAATGCTGAAAACACGATGGCTCCACCAAGATGGCCATTGCCAGTGACAAGTGGTATATAAATAGCTTGCCATTTCAACGTTGAAGGAGGTGCTCCTTCGTGGCTCAGTAACTAGCGCCTCGCACTCACAAGCAAGAGGCCAGACGTTCGATTCCGTGCACCAGTCTTTTTTTATTATTTTTCTTTCTGGAGTTTTCATATATGTAGATACATTTACATATACGGTTAATGATGGCAATCTCGACGCCAGCGGCAAAATCCAGATTAGAGTATCCATATAAGTAGTTGCTATCGCAATAAAATGATGAACCGATGTAAAGGTAAGATGGTAATTTATAGGCTAGTGAGAATAGTTAATTGTAGGTTCGAAGCGAATAGTGATTTTGGTCGAATAATTTCAAACTGGATTCGAATAAGAATATATGACGTATTAAGAAAAATGGTCATATTTTTCATGACTTAACTAACCTGCACAATATTTTTTTTAAACAAGGCCTCTACACTTTATTTTTTTCATTCTAAGGAAGTCGAAACCACTTTGTGAAGTAGCAGGATTTGACTTTCAGTAGGATGCAAGTGATGACCTGTAAAATATGTAAAATTATTCATTACAGCTAGAGTGTATAAGCCGGCAAAACAATCTTTCAAGCTTAAAAATTATCAATCAAATTGAGGATAATATGTTCATTCTGGGAGAGATTGCATAAGAAAAAAAAAATGTCACTGTGCGTGTTGTGACCTTGAGCACTCTTTTTCCATTTTTTTTTTTCTTTTAATATGCTGCTTTTCAGTGTGATCATGCATGTACGCATGGACATGTCGCGGCCACTCGCAGCGGCCCTTGCAACAACCGAGCATGCCATGATTAAATCAGCCAATGGCTGGTAAAATGGCTTTGACGAGCGATATCTTACATTATGGCGTCATTTGCCGGGAGAAGAGAGCAATTTTTATCTGATCTTCAGAATTTATTGTGGATTCCAGGTAAAGTGCTGCGCTATATTATTTAGCTCGCATGTTCTCGGTAGCTTCGACTACCGATCGGCAGCGTTTGCTGACCATGCTCAAAAAGTGTTGCAGGGCTCCTTTAAATGCGAACTGGAACTTCGCGACAAAGCGAATTTCCCTTTAGGTGCTTTCACGGCTTAGCACCCCGATGCTGCAGTGAAACCACCTTTACAAGTGGTTACATGCAGTTTAGTATACACCTATTCGTTCATGTCGAATACTTCGAAATATTCGATAATTTAAATTCGAACACCCTACTATTTTTTCGTATATTCGAAGCATTCGAATATTCGCACAAGCCTAGACTAATTTAACCTCGAAGTGGCGCTTCATGGCCGTGCAGATTTACCCTAAATAAGTGTTCACGGCCGAGTAGCTCTTCACTGCAGTGAAACCACTTTTACAGAGGGTTATCAGCGGATTTATTCAATACACCTACTCAATCAATTAAAATACTTCAAAATACTTTAAAAATTTCAGTTTAAATTCAAATTCAAGCGAATTCGGATACTATAATCTTCGTTGAAATTCTCGAAGCATCCAAATATTCGCACAAGCCTACTATTCTTATGAGATCATAGCAACATAAAAATGTTTCTTTTGGTTAGGTTGATAAAGCACTGGCGGCTTATGTTTCACAGTTGCCTCATCGATAATGAGGCAATGCAGAAGCCGAATGGTATTTACTGTACATAATTTGGTGCAACCAATGTGTTGCCAACAACACTTCACATGTGAAAGGCGAGGTGCTATTTTTTTTTCGCGTTCTTCATAACATGCATATGTGATCTACAACCCTTTCCCGACTTTTCAGGAGTGCAGTAGAATCTCGTTGATACGATTACGGTTGATGTGAATTTCGCAATGATACGAATTACAAGGTTGCTTCGGATGGACTACATTATATAAAATACGCCATGATTCGATGTTGTACGAATTGTTTCCCCAGCAACCACGCATGATACAAACGTGTGACTGATCATTGCACGCGAGCCATGCAATGCTGCTTGTCTGTGAGAGGAAGGCCCATTCACACTTGGCCTCAAAGGGACCAGAATTTTCTTCGATTTGCTGCCGGAAAAGTGGTTGGAAAACCATGCCGCGAGGCTAACGCGAAAAAATTGGTCCGAGACCGATTTCGCTGCCAAGTGATAGCAAATCGCCTTTCTGCTACAGCTTTGGTTACACTGTCTGTACTAACTCTCAAACCACTTGATGTGAACAACCATGCAACCAGCCGTACATTCAAAATGGCGGCCAACGCAATGCCTTACGTTGGCGCAATAGCGAACTATCCGCGCAGCATGACAAAGCTCATGGCTTTGAAAAACACGCATTCATCGAGAGCCTGGTTTGAACTACGATCGCTGCAAACATTTGAAGTAGAAGAAGTTGCAGCAGCAGCCAGTCAGCATGCCCTAACGTGTCTCTTTTTTGATCTGCCGGCTGAACCCGCCGCCGCCTCCGCATCTGCTTGTGTCATTTCTTCTGATGTATCTCCCGAAACAACATTTGTAAAGGTGTAAACTGTTTTTTTTTTCGGTACATTGTGCATAACTAGAACTCGATAGAAATTTTAATACTCAGAAATGAAATTTCAAGTGGCGAAGATGGTGGCGGTGGCATGTATACGAGGGGCGTAACGAATGTGAACATTTTCGACAAGCGCAGACGTGGTTTTGCGGCCGCTCTGGCGTTTTCGCTTCAATTCTCGGGTTTGAATTCTTTTGCACTGATTTTTTGTGTATCGACTTTGCGGCGCGTTTTTCCGGACGCTTGAACGACAAAGCGAGTGAATTTTCCATAAGTTCTGCCACTTTCGCTCCCTTTGATGCCAAGAGTGAACGCGCCTTATAGCGCCAGCAGCATGAGTGAGGAAACTGCGCCACTTTATTGAAAGGTGGTGAAAGCAGGAAAGTTCAAAAGAACATCATGAACTGTTTTCAGCAAGAAGTAGTTGGCCCCAAATAGTTCTTGTTCATCTTTGTGATCAGCTTTAACTTATTTTTAGTTCATTAAAATTCAGAATGATACAAATATTTTGAATGCTCCCTTCAAATTCGAATGATCATGATTCTACTGTACATGTCTTAAGAGCACCCCTACCTGCCAACTCTCCCGAATCATCTGAGAGATTAATGAATTTAATAATCTCTCAATTGTATGAATGCTATCTCGAATCTCGTAGAAAGTGACTAGCACAGCAAAGGCTTTTTTATCATGCGCGTATGTCAGCCTTTCCTGCTGTGACAGTTGTGGGGCTCCAGAAAAGCTCTCGCCCCTACACTTCTGGTTCACTGTAACCATACCATAGAGTACCGCTAAGTATGTAACACACATTTGGGCGAAGGCCGGCGGCCACGGGATGCGCTCGCCACCACACCAAAAGAAGGCGGGGAAAAAGGTATGACAACTTCTGTGCCTGTCTTGGCCACTGCATTTTGCATGCTTGGCCTACGCCGCGAGCCAGCTGTCACTTGTGTCAGTTACGTTGTTGTGGGGGCAGCATGTTTCCCCGAGTTCAGTTGAAAAGTTGATGGCGGTGTCAAAAGCAAAGAAGTAACTTTAAGTGTTTCTGCACTCGTACCCGGCTGAGTTTCTGTGCTTTGTGACTTTGCGGAAAGGTGACAATCACGGATTCCGTACCACATGTGCCTGTGATCTCCGCATTTCACACGGCATCAAGGCCATCATAAAGGTGCACATCACTTCACAGAAGCACCACAGCTACGTTCGTGCTGTGGAAGGGCAGGGCAAAACTGGAAGTTTCTTCTGAAACAGCTGCGAACACGACGCAATCTGTTCGGAATGCTTATTCACAGGATTTCTTGTGAAACAAACTTCCCGCTCAGTGTTAGTGAATGCGCAGGACTGTTCTTTCAGAAAACGTTCCTGAAGTGCAAGGATGCGAAGCGGTACGGGTGCAGTTGCATGGAACAACTGCCATCATCGCGGAAGTGGCTGCAGATGCCGAACGCACAATGCTGGATGCTCTGAAACGCTGTGCTTTCGCAATCACGGTGGATAGAAGCAACGACAGCGGGATGCAAAAGACTCGATCTCAGTAATTTCCGATATGCAAGCCCTCCCCCCATCGCTATGGTCATCTCATACATGAAAGTGTGCACCAAAGCTACTGCTCAAGCAGCACAACATGTATGAAGACCAATAAGAAGCTGGTAAGCATTGCTATAGTGTCGTCCGCCATCTGATTGAAAGCCTTTGCTGTTTCATGAAGCGAAGCAGCTATCACACATGGCTTGCACGGACCTCGTGAGGTTGACCCAGCTCCCCCACTAATTGCCAGGCTTCCACTTGGGCCATCTCGACCTATATGGCATGACCCCTACCTCTCACTTCTTCAATGAATTCCCCTAGCTGCACCTCCAGCTCAGGGTAAGCGCTGGTCTTCGGGCCACAGAACAACCTGCTGTCACAGTGCATGACTTGTATGCTGTCCTTCTTTCTTCAAAGTCGCATGCAGGGCTCGTCCACATCGTAGTGTCTTCCCCCTTCGTGATTTCGAAGTTCATAGGTGACGGCAATGATCTTCAATGTTTGCTATAGAGTGAACGACAGCTGCTAAACACTACTCATGATGATAAAACATATCGATCTGTGCACAGCGAATGATTCATGATGCCGAGATCGAGAGGTATCAGCGAGATAGAGGCTTGGTCAGTGTTACTGCATAGAGGCTTCACAGCACAACGTGCATTGTTGTGAAGCTCCTCTAAAAAAAACCTATAATATTTGCAACCCTATTTACCCCCTGAAAATTTTAGCATTTTTGGTGTGAGTTATACGTGTAAAAATACAGCAAATGCGTAGTTAATAGTCATTATGTGTAAATGAGGAATGTTTCCAAACCATACACACTTTCACCAAGTATTCAATATAACAAAACCTTTGCCGCAAGGACGCTTGGCAGGCCCCTGTCTTGGACAGCCCGTAGCAGCACTGCCACGGCCTTGCCACCTCGGTGAGGGCCCAAGGCAATCGCTGCATTGGCGAGTGCAGTCGCATACACCAGACAACCCGAGTAGTGTTCATCCTCCTTGCTCACCTGCGCAGAAAAGGTGTGCATAGAAAATCATGTGAAGAAGTGCAGATTATGAAACAATTACTCAAGTTACATCATAGTGAAATGTCCTTGACCCACATTCCTGTATATGAACCAATCACTTGGAAAGTTATGGCTGGTAGAAATATTATGTAACGACACCCTTAATAGTGATAAGTTCACATAAAATGTGCTAATCTTAAGATCAATATCTAGAGTTGAGATGCAATATACTACAAGCCACAAAACAGCTTCACATGTTCTTTTTTGCTGTTTAAAAAGGACAGGCATGTAAGCAAAGAGGTATGTTTATAGAGGGAGAGAAGAGCATATGTGAAAACAATATTTATGAGTTACGCGTCAGATGCAACCAGTGAAAAAATATAACATTTAAGTAAAATCTAAATACAGCAGGCAATCATAAGCTAAAAATGCAGCGAAGGAACACCGCACTCCATGACCTCATCGCAAGTGGAATACAAGAGGCCTGATCTCATTCCAGCTATGTCTTGTCTGTCTTGTTGTCCAGCTTGTGTCGGCGTCTTTAAAGTGTTATCTTTCTTATAATGAATGGACATCCAGAAATCCCCTGCAATCCCAAAATGATCACCAAAGAGAACATGGTTAGTGATGCTACTGAGGTGTTCCGATTTGGAGCAATTTTCGGAGCAGCAAAAGTTTCCATTTTGGAGCACTTTGGAGCAGCAAAATTTTTCATTCCGGAGCAATCTGGAGAAGCTAACTTGAAATCCTGGAGGAGAAGCAAGTTGCATTTACATTCAAGGACATGAAAAGTCATTCTGAAGCACTTGTGGAGAGCTAGAAATATTTAGAGTAATTACAAATTTCATGGAGCAAATCATCTTAGAAGCACTTCCTATTTCAGATGATGCAAGAATAATGGCGTCACACTGTTCCGCATTCTGAAAAAACTTGTTCAGTGATTATTTTTGTAGCAAATAAACAGAATACTGGTTCAACAAAATTGTACTTCATGAAATAACAATATAAATACACCTATGCGGTTACCAACAAATATGGTAGACAAACGCTGTGACGTACAATGCTGAGACTCACACAGCCCCAAGTGCATTTTTCTAAGATGACTACAAGACTAAAAAAAGGTTTTTTTTCTTCACAACTGATTAAACTGCTGAGCATAGCATGGCATCATTCAGATGATCTCAGAAAGCCAACCTCTTCCGGAACTCATCTCTGTGCTGAAACTACACAATTTAACAAACTTCATTTGCCTTTTGCAGAGATATTTCATGTGGCTAGGACGTTCTGTCTATACTCCAAAAACTTCTACAGCACACTCTAGAAAGCAGTGCGCTAAAAAAACCTCACAGGGTACTTTATGCGTATGCCTAAGACAACTCGAAGGCATGAGCCACTTCGTTTTTAATGGAATAGCTATTGTATGGACATCATCGACTGGTTTTTGGCATTGCCAGGGATGTAGCCAAAAATGTTTTAATAATAGGAGGGCTGCACCTTGAATTGAAGGGGGGGAGGCAGGCAAAATGTCATTGCGCACTACTATATATGCCATGGCAAAAAAGTTTCGGAGGTGGAGGGGAGCATGTTCCCAATGCCCCCCCTTTATCTGGCTACGCCACAGGTCATGTATTGTGTAATCGATAACATCCTCCGGCGCGTCGTGTGTTTTACAGGCGAGTAAAATCGCGCGAGCAGGAGCGACACGCGCGGCTAAAGAAGAGATAAGAAGAGCTGACTTATCTCTTTTGCACTGAGGCACTGAGGGCGGATGCGATAACATCACCACGCTGGGCAGGCCTCCCATCGATTGTTACTCAAGCAGAGAGGAACGCGCCGCCTGTGTCCAAGGGACAGGAAGGATCAAGCTAGGAACGTGAAGCTAGGATCGCTGCAAACTTCCGTTGATGCTTACATTACAACACAAGACCCTAACACGCAGCACGGCCATGTTTGGTAGCATTGGTGTCGCTCTTTACATATTTCTGAATAAAACGCCAGCTGGAGGGGCCAGCTGGGTGCTATAGAGAAATCTTATTCCATCTGTACGTGCATCGGCGTGCGAGGTGTTCTGTGGGTCTCTAGTCATTCAAGTCACTGTATTAATATCGAACACAGCGCGTGCGGCTAGTTTCTGCGAGTACGCAGACCTTCGGAATGGCAACTGTGCCGCTAGCGCTCCTCGCACATGACGTCAAGCCTTATTATTTTATATAAAGATACAGTTTGTTGGTATTGCATTCATTGCTAAGAGCGTAAGTGAAACTAACAATTCTATCTCTTGGACCCGATATCGCGTAACTGAAAAGATCACTGGCTAAAGGGACAATGATTACTCCAGTTGCTGAAGTGGTTTTGGTGCTGTCAATTAAATCCACGCAAAGCAGAGGTTAGTAGCACAGAAAATTTATGGGCAGTCTTCTTATGCCTCGAGATGGCGCACAACAGCGACCACGGCCTTCAAGTGACACAGCCTCCACCCCTTCCTCCGCGAAAAGCAGCAATGAATGTGATGCCATGATGTTCAATTTTTTATTAATCATCAGCTGCTGACTCTGGAACGCGAGAGGCGGACGTGTAACAAGGCGTAGTCGCTTCACAGTGGGCCTTCCACAACAGTTTGTTGAATGATGTGTTTTCTTCTTTTTGCGAATAGAGTAGAACTTAGAATAGAGTAGGAAATGAAGCTTAATTTTCAGAAAACCGTGACAATACCTTTTACCAATAAAAAGGAGCCATTGCAATTTAGATATGGTGACTCCGATCATACACCAGAAAAAGTTCAGGAATTTAAGTATCTTCGTGTTGTATTCTCTTTAAACTTGAAGTGGCACAAACACATCGACCTTACTCTGCAAAATCGCTTAAGAAATTAGGTAACTTGAGAAAAACGCTAAAGGGCGCCACAAAAGAATGCAAGCTTATGGCCTTCAAATCACTGGTCAAGCCTCTTCTTGAATATGCGTCTGTTGTGTGGTCACCACATCTTGCAATTGACATAGATAAACTTGAGGCCGTCCAGCGAAAAGTGATTAGATTCATTTTTACTGTTATGACCATGATTTCTCCCCTTCAGAGCACTACCATGCTTCATTGCTAAACCGTTTAAAACACAGTCGTATGTGTGATCGGCTTACCATGCTACATAACATCGTGCATGAATCCGTCCCCATAGCCACACCCATTTCGTCCGGCAATCACCCTGCCCATATGACTCGCCGATACAATCCATTGAACATTGTGCCATTCAGATGTTTTATTGATTGTTATAAATACTCTTTTTTTCCGTGCACAGTTTACACTTGGAATAATCTGGACACTACTTTGAAATGACTACCGCATGAGTTGTTTGTTAAAAAAGTGTCCAATTATGTAATTTGATGTTTTTAATTTGCTATTGTTACTTTTGTGTGATCATTTATTGTTTGTTGAACAGGTGTCTAATTACGTAATTTGATGCTTTTTATTTCTGCTGTTTTTTTTTTGTTTGTTTATTGTAACCACTCCTACAATGTCTCGGCCACGAGACAACAGTATCTGTCAATAAAAGCACCACAGCCGCCAGCAATGGCCTCACTACGATTGCCTCGGCTTCCAAAACGCCCTTTTAATGTTCAAAATGCTATTTTACAATCGGAGATTATCCGATAAGTATGGATTGTTGTCAATTTTACTGGTGAGTGTTTATCAGATCTTTTAAAAATTTCTCCAAAAACACGGAGTTCTATGTATACTACACAAGGTTATGCCAGCATTCCTGGATAGCCGATTAATTGGGCTGCTTGTCCTTCAATAGTGAGTACACAGGTTCGAATCCACCTCAAAAAGGAATTTTTTTCCCCTTGGCATTTCTTTCTCTCTTTCTTTCTTTCTTTCTGTCCGCACTTGTCTTGCCCACGAGAGTTATTGTATCCAGTGCAGGAAAAACTGGCACAAATATTCTGGGTGTGAAGCAGAAGATCAACAAGGAGATGAAGAGAGCGTGCGCCAGTCCGTGATGATGGCAGTTTTTGTTCGTGAAAGACAGATTATGGCACACTTGATATACATTAGACTGAGTTAATGGAAATTTGTTAAATGAAACTGCTGCTTAAATGAAACAACTTCTTCTGATATGATTGGTTTCATACTTGAATTCTGCAACCCACTTCACCTCTCAGTAAACAGAACTCCTATTAAATATATATCACATTTTTTCGATCCTTTCAGGTTGCGTTTAATGAGAGTCTCTGTACTCCACGGTTAAGGTTGCCTGTGTCCAAGTAACAATAAGATAAGTGACCACTGGCATCTTTGCACTCACTAATTTTTCCTGACAAGTGCACAACCACAAAATTTCTTTTCGAAATACACTCACATACTGCAATTACGCTACATCCCTGCACACTAGTTTCTCTGCTGAAAATGAGTCAATGAGTAACTCCTTCCATGCAGACTACTGCCCGAACGCCAAATTGTGATTATAATCACTAAATGTCAGCTGTTCAGAAGACAAATTGCCAACCAGTTTAAACTCCGAAGCTGACCAAGTTGAAACTTCTCAAAAGCGCGCATGGCACAACGATTCTGACTGGCATAAAGGTATGAGCATTTTCCTACATATTTGCTATTTATATGTTCACTTCTTACACATTTGCATACTTACTTCTACATATTTACTTACATATTTACTTATTTACTTCAATACAGTAAAGGTCCTTAATTTAGATTTCACAAGACCGGAAAAAAATGCCCAAGTTAATTAAATGCCTAATTATCAAAAGATCAAGAAAATAATAAGCAATCGTCTCTTACATCAATGAATTTCTATTTTCTCAATGAATATGCCAGTCCAGTACTTACTCTGCATAAGAGCAGTGCAAAAGCTGTGATTTTCCCTATTTGCAACTTGGTTCACAATGTGACCATGGCTCAAGACCACCTTTTCTTAAGATGAAATGTGCTCTGAACCTCTTATGCACTTTTATTACGTACCACCACCACCAACACTACCACGTGCACATGACAATTTCGCACCGAAAAAATCGTCAGCAATAGATTGTTCGTCCGTCACTATGTTCAATGTCGGCATACAGACTGCCACTGAAGGTCTTACTCTTCCAACAGCTTCTACCATGCATAAACATTACGATATTGGGCGCGCATTCCCCAAAGTCAAAATGAGCCCAGCGAGTGCCACATCCGCTGTGGATCAAGTTTTGCTCGCTAAAACATGATCACAGTGACCTTGCATTTCACGTATGCTGTGCCTCCTGCTTGACATGTGGCGAGGATAGTCTGAATTAATCTGGTTGCAACTGAATATGAGCAAATGAATGAGCGTTTGTTCCCTTTAAATAACCTTGCCATAACTTTGCCGGGACTGAAGAACACGTCTTAATTATGCTATCTTCCAAATTAACGGTGGTTTACTCTACTTTCTTATTCTCAGTATATAGGTTTCTTTCTCGTACTTATATTGCTCATTCATAAATAACAATTGCATCTACACCAATGAAAAGTACTTCTTTCTGCCCTATGTTCCTTCTAAAGAAACTATAGTAAACTTTTTCAAAAGAAATAACCCATCGATTTCATATCTGCAATAGAAAATATCGTATCTGGGTGGTTGCAGCAGGTAAAAAATTGTTTACCCTTGTGGAGTAAAAAACTTAATGGGTGCTGACACCATTTTTCAAAGCTGAGTATACTCCACCATACAAATCTCCTGTATATGGAGACTGCCCTGAACAAGAGTGATGCTCAGTACACCAATATAACATTCCATTTTGACATTAAAAACAATGTCCTTATGGCACATCTACTGACACTGTCGTGAACTGAGGCTACCGTATCAATTCTGGTGACTGGACACATTATTGAGGCTATGTGTGATGATATCAGACAACAAACTTTCAAAATGGCCACTTGTGATTCACTAACAAAGCCAAAGAGTGGACTGGCCATGGAATTGTCATAATAAACTGCTCGAGCACGTGACGAGGAGCTCATACCATGCCGTGACGTTAGGGTGCAACGGGAACTGAAGCTGGCTTTTAGAAACTCATTGTACTTCATTTTTTTAGGATTCACATTCGTGCTTACCAGTACATTTTCTGGGCTCTTAAAAAATTGGCAATTCATGTGATAGAAAAAATGAAAACTAAAAATTTTCATGTGAGTACCCTTTAAAATGTAAAAAAAGCCAACAAAAGAACACACGAATATTGTCCAGCTGAGTACAAAACTGCTGAAGTGAAAGCACAAATGCGACAGTGCACTTCCAATGCAACTGCCCAAACTCACATCAGCTTCAAGATGCTTTGACAACAGTGGCAGCATAGACTGCAGGCTGACTGGCTGTTGGCCGCTGAGAAAGAGTGCCACCTTCTCTGCAGCTAACGTCCTCACGGAATCATGGTTGCTGCCCAAGAAGCGAAGAGTGTACTCGAGCACTGAAACCAGCTGACCCTCAACTGTGAGACGCACCTGCGACCTGGCTGGCTCCTGCGTTGTTTCATGGCAATGCTTTTGAACACAACTCTCCCCTGCATGCAGAGTGTCATTTCATACTAAACAAGGTCACTCATGATCACTGTCTCACTCCTATCATATCCTCAACATCATAATACAGTATAGAATGCTTATAATGTAGATAGCAAAATTCTCAAATATCCGTCCTATAAGCGGTGCCACACTATGACCAAAATAACCTTTTCTCAAGGGCCGCAGTTGAGCAAAACATGTTGAGCATGCAGCCTCGCGTGTCCGAGAATCAAAGCACGTGATGCCTGGTACATACAACTTTTTACTGTTTCCGAATGTTTAAAAAAAATTTAACGTCCAAAGACATACGTTGCCGCAAAATAAACACAAAAGGGGGGAAGGGATAACAAGAGAAAGCAACATCGCAGATATTCGCTGACTACTTTTCAGACCACCGCGATTATGGGCATTACACAGAAACTATGTCGAATCACGTCCGGAATTTCACGCGCTAGAAGATGCCAATCATTCGATTTCACGGGTGCGCACCCAATTTTAAGGCATCGCAATCAAATTGAAACCACGATTAGAGTGCTACACGTGCCACCACCCTTGTTCTCATCAACAGTATGTATCCATTCCCGTCAAGTGCAGCCACAGCAACATTGATTCCAGTACTAAACTGCAACTTAGATATCCCGAGACTGCTACCGAAATGCAACCAACGCCGATTAAGCCTAACATGCCGTTCGATATGTTGTCACAGAAAATTTGTTCAAGACATGAAGATCCAGCGTCGGAAAGACTGCACTCAAGCAGAGGGCACGGCACGCATCCGACGAACAACATGCCTAAGATTTTGCTTGCACCTATGCAGGTTGGTTACTTTACGAATGTTGTTTGTTATAGAAGTGACAATCGATTTTTGTTACTAGTGCCGTGCCCTGGCAGATGTTTCAGTGTTCTTTGTCATTGCTGTACAACGTTTTCAATCCTACTGTCGGGCGATGTGGAGGAAAACCCTGGGCCCACTAATACTCAAGTGCTACAAGCTATTCTAGACAACCAAGGGGCCTCGGACCGTAAAATGGACGCACTGAAGGAAGAAATCAGTGCACTGTATGCTAAAACTGAAAAATTAAGTGGCTATCTTACGGTAACACAGGAAATGAATAAACGAATTGAGATCCTAGAGCATATCGTGCAGGAACAAGCTGCTAAACTAGCAGATTATAGTAAACCGCAGTCGACACAATCTTTTGGTTTTTGGTGTTCCCGAAAGCAAGGGAGCTTCAGCTGTTGATTTGAAGAAAGTCGTGGTCGATGCGATCTTTAAAGAAACCCTTGGTATAGAAATTCAAACGATTGAAAGAATCTGTCGACTTGGTAAGGAAAAACCTGGGAAAGATAGGCCCATAATCATGAAGTTTTATGATTACTGCAAGAAAGAAAGTGTTCTAAAAAACTGCAAGAAACTTAAAGGGACCAATATAACCATAAGCCACGACTACGCCCCAGACACGGTTGAAATAAGGAGCAAGCTATGGAAAAGTGCAGCTTCAGATAGGGCTAAAGGTGTGCAGGTTAAGTTGGTGCATGATAAGATTAAAATACATGGTGATATATATGGCTGGGATGTCACTCGAGAAGAACTATACCTGTATCAAAATCATGCAGATAGACAGAAACAGAGATATGCTCTTGAAGCTGCTGGTGAAGGAAGGAGCACTACAACAAACGAGAGCATGTCATCTAACGTGCTAGGAACGCCCTTTTCTTCACCACAGACATAGCTCCGGCTTCTTTTATTTAATGCCCGAAGCATCGCTAACAAAGTAACTGAACTTGAATACGTTTTGCTATCACGAAGTCCTCATGTGGTGGCCATAACTGAAACGTGGATACACAGTTGTGTCCCTGATAAGTGCATTGTGCCAGAAGGCTACAAAATCTTTAGATCTGATAGGGACTCCTCGCGAGGGGGCGGATCGCTATCATAGTAAAAACTCTGTTGTGGCCGCGCATGTTCGAAGCAATGTACCAGAAACAGTGTGGTGCAAAATTAGCCTTTTTAACTTAGTATACCTTTATGGTGTCGTGTATAGACCATCCGCAACAGCATCAGACTATCTTGATAAATTGAATAACTTCCTTTGTGCCCATGTAAATGGGAACACCAGGCTAATTCTTACTGAAGACTTTAATCTGCCTCACATTAACTGAGACACTTTTTTGCCCAGACACGTCGAGATTGATAGTGGCAAAAAGATGTTGGAAATTATGTTCACTCATAACTTAACTCAAATAGCATGCGAATATACACGGATGACATCTTCGTCTCGGTCAGTGTTGGACCTGGGGTTCCTTTCAAACAAATTGTGCAATTATAATATCTGTGTTGATGAGGGAATTTCAGATCATAGATTGGTCTCTGTTACTACTCCACTGAATGTTTCACGAGCTAGAACCTATATGACCGTGCAAGTAAAAGATTACACGAACGCGGATGACACTTCAATTCTTGACATGCTGGGGTATTCATTTGGTCATTTTGGGCACACACCCGAGCGCCAAACAGTTGAATTGTGGCAACGTTTTAAAGATATTATAAAATATTGCATCGATAAATTTGTTCCTAGTAGAGTAAAACAGACTAAAAAGCGCAATCCGTGGATAGCACGAGGTATTATTCACAAAAAGCAAAAGTCAAAAAGGCTGCGGAGGAAAAGAAACCATGGCTCTGAGGATATAGCACGTGTACGAAAAGAATTGAAGAAATACTTGTTGGAATCTAAGCGCACTTTTTTTGGTCAAAAGTTGAGTTCTTTCATTAAACATTCACCTCACAAGTTCTGGCTTTATATGTCCGATCGGCACGATAAAATTGACCAGCTGAAACGTGGAAATGAAATCGTGACAAAGAATGTTGATATTGCAGATAGTCTTAAAATTTTTTTTCAGTCAGTTTTTACAAGGCACAGATGTGACACTGAAACAGAGGATGTAATATGCCACTTATCTGAGCCGATGGGTGAGATTACTATTATGAAATTACTAGGAGTATTGAATAGTCTATTGTCTCTTGATTCCAGAAAAGCATGCGGGCCTGATGAAATACCCACCCCTTTTTTGCAGCGTTATGCGGAGTGGATATCTTACTACTTAGAAGTTACTTTTCAAAAGTCTATTTGTACTAGTTCAGTGCCATCGGACTGGCGCACAGCTGTAGTTGTCCCTGTGTTTAAGAGTGGTGATCGATTGTCCACCAATAATTACCGTCCCGTATCGCTCACATCTATCTGCTGCAAAATATTAGAATATGTTATTGTCAAGCATATCATCACATTCCTAGAAAATAAAAATTACTTTTATCCTTATCAGCATGGCTTTAGAAGTAAAGTCTCGACTACAACACAGCTTATCGAAATTATTCATGACTTTGCGACAGCTTTAGATATGAATGAACAAATTGATGTCATCTGCATAGATTTCACTAAGGCCTTCAATAAGGTACCTCACAACAGATTACTGTATAAGCTTCACTGCCCTGGACTAAGTCAACTTTTACTTAATTGGATTAAAGCCTACCTATATGACAGGAAGCAATTCGTGAAAATTGATAACTCTATGTCTAGCTCACTAGAAGTGTTTTCTGGTATTCCACAAGGCTCGGTTCTTGGGCCCTTATTGTTTCTGATACATGTCAATGATATCACAGATATAGCAAAACCCCATGTTAAGCTCAAACTGTTTGCTGATGATTGCTTAATTTACGCGTGAGTGACTGGTAGGAAGGACCAATTGAACATTGTTGAATGTCTAAAGAAATTACACTCATGGTGTGAAGCTTCCGGAATGTAAATCAATTATTGGAAATGTACCGTCACCCACATTTCTAGGAAAAAAACGATAATTCCATTTGAATACTGCATCGGGAATCACACCTTGTTGACAGTTAATACGTTCAAGTACCTTGGTCTCACAATAACGCATAACCTAAAGTGGCACACACACATTGATAATGTTTGCTCTAGGGCCTCCCGAAAATTGTACATATTAAGAAAAAAAACTGCAGGGTGCTAGTATGGACGTAAAATTTCTTGCTTTTAAAACTTTCATATGGCCGATACTGGAATATGCCAATATTGTTTGGAGTCCCCACCAAAAAGTGCTTGTAAATAAACTTGAACGCATACAACGACTTGCAGCTCGCTTTATATGCTCGAGATATAAGCAGAACGACTCAGTCACAGAAATGCTACAACTATGTGATCTGGAGACGCTCCACAAGCGCAGATGCAAAAATAGATTAAAGTTTCTTTTTCAATTATTTTAAGGTGAGTTTAAAATTAACAGAAATTACTACATAGAACCACTAGGAAAACAAAGCGAGACGGCAAACCATACACGAGTACTGCAACCTTATTTTGCACGAACGAAGGCGTACCGTCATACTTTCTTCCCCGATGTCATTGAAGATTGGAATGGGTTACCGAGTAACATAGTCAATGCGGGTTATGTTAATGAATTTGTGCATTTACTTGATTTACATTTATTTGATTTATTGTAAATACTATTACGATTGTTATTCGTTGCATTGCAAATCAGGGTGTGTGTTTTTCGATTGGAATGCAGAGCTTTCACGGATTTGTATATATGTATACCTGGTTTATCATTGGAAGATGTATAGTTGTATCCCCAATTTGTTTGTACAGTGTGTCGTACCTTTCCTGTAATGACCCTCAATAGAGGGTTGACAGTATTTCTAAATAAATAAATAAATAAATCAACCAAGAGCAGCGGGGCTGATACGTAGCTCGCGTTCATGGCTGGGAGATCAAAAACAATGAAAACCCGCCAAGCTTACGTAAGACAGCGCACAGAGAGCAAACGCGACAGCTCGCCTTATAAAGCTGTAGAAGGCTTTAAATTTACGAAAATACGATACTTTTAACAAGCACGATAATGACAACGCTTTTCTTGACCAGAAACTGTTAACCGCAGTTGATAAAAATGGGACCACACGTGCCTTGTAGAGCCCCGCGCGGCCGGAGTCACGCTAGTGAAGCTAATACACTGATAGCCACGTTGGTGCCAGTACAAAGGCTTATCCGTTACAGGGGCAACTGCCCTCCTCCCTTACTCGGCAACCAGCATAGCATGCCCCAGTCTTTTTCTTTTTTTTCTTTTTCTTCCCTCCGCCTTTATTCATTAACTTCGCATCCCCTCCTCCTCTGTAACAACCGCATCGCTCGCTCCCCAGCGGAGCACCCAGCGTGCCTTCTTTCAGATGCGCACCTGCTACTGTGATTGTCACTAAGATTTTTCGGCAACCATATTATAATCAGTCTCTCATGATGAGGGACTGCAACGTAAGCGGTATGCTTTTACATGAGGTTCTATGGAATGGCGAACGGGAGTAAAAAAAGACCGCATTGTAACCAGTTCTGCACTATAAGCGACTATGTTAAAAGTAGTCTACACCGTAGTATGTTCATTCAATGACCTTGCAACTGAATATATGATGATTGTATGAAAGCACAATAACATCACAAGCAGAACACAAAACTAGTGATAACTAATAACAATATGCTATTGGTGTGGCAATATTAGGCATAAAATTGTCACTTGGTGGCAATTTGACTGATTAGAAAGACTTCGTGCTCAATTACAACTGCAATTGTCATGCCAAACAGGGCGATTCATAATCACTAGTGATCCTGACATTGTGGACATTCTAATTATGTTGCCCTTTCAATGACTTTTCAAATGATGCCATGCCACATAAAAACACCAAACAAAGCTATTAATCACTAAAATTTTATGGCTTTCAATAGGTGACAATAAGCAAAACTGTTTACTAATGCCACTTTCATAACAGTAACCTGCAGAAATGTACGCTACCACTTTCAATTGGACAGTGCCTGTATTTGTCTTTGAAAAGTTCAAATAGTTCGAATAAAAAACATTCTAGTGCGAATCAAACCAAATAGCAAACACTACAAGAAAAATATCTTAAATTTCAAATATTTGCACACCCCTAATAAAAAGTGCTGGCGCTAAATAGACTGCCTTCTTTTAACCGTTTCCTGTGAAGATGTAAAATACTGCCACACATGTTAATTGCTTTATTTTAATGTGTTTGGGTTTTACCTGCAAGGACTTGTTAGCTATGCTTAACACAGAATGTGCAAAAATGTTTTAGAAGCTTCATGATTGTTTGAGCTCATTCTATTAAAATTATGCACAAGACGCGATTAGTCAAGTTTATTTGAGAGCTTATGCAAGCATCAACATTAAGGCTCGAATGATCAATGCTGCATGAATGAATGCCGATGCATCTCATCACAGATCATATTACTGACGACCAGTGCCCAGTTCACCGATATCAGTGTGCAGCGTGAAATGCTTGTACCTCGTTTTCACGCTTTTCGGGCACAAGTTCACCCAAATAAAAGGCTTAGCCTAAAGCATACAGACTTTGTCAACATCACAACTACGCGACAATATCATGTGTGCATAAAAGCAGCACTCACCTGCAGGCAGTCCAACAGAAGTCGGAGAAATGCTGAGGAGGCCGCCTCATTGAGAATTCCTTGTGATAGCAGCGCACTGAAATAAGTGAGAACATTCTAAAGCATGACCACAGAATGTTGGCACTTTTATATACTAAATACAGCTGCACGAGTAGAATCGTATAACATGCAGCATGCTTGAAAACTTGTGGTTCTTTCATGTAATATTATTGAAGGTACTGTTTCTTTTTACTTATTGTGCTCTTTGAAATAGCTCACCCACAATGTGGTTGCAAGCTGCAATAGCTTGTATAACAGTATGTTTAGGAAAAATTCACAAGATTTCAGATACACACGTTAGCTTGCATTTATTATAGTCTTCGCCATAAGACAGTAAACTGGAGCAATGAAAGTGGTGAAACCAATGTAGTTAGGTGGTCTACCCCTAAAGCAGCAGGCTGCATTCCAGAAACAACAAAAAAGGAAACAGTTGCGTGCGTGAAGCCTGCCAAGTATGAAGGGTTTTCGAGCCCATTAGTCAAAGTGTACTGCAGATATTTACGTGCCATGAATGCCGAGTTTGCAGAAGCACAATGCACAGTGCAGCATCCCTCTTTTTGGTTGCACACAGTCTTTCAGATACTGGAGAGCTTTCATGTGAAGAGCTTCACTGACAGCTGATATACAAATCCTTGGTGCTCCAGTCAATGGAAGTCAAGATACCCAATCAACATGACTGATTTTTATCTAAGCTTTCGTTTTCCACTCCTTGTGCTAAGAGAGCAGCATGATGCCACATATGTAAATCAAGTTTTCATTGTTGGCTTCGACCATCATCAAGAATTCATAACTTTATTACGATGCTTTAGAACAATTGTAAGATTATTTCAATTGCAACTTTTGCACAAAGCTTGACAGTCTTAGCATCATCTCGTGTAATTATGTACTTCTCCAAGTCTTCAGTAAAAATGTAGTGAACAGACGACCAATTAATGGAATGGAGAAAACTTTATTTAATGCCAGCAGATTAGCGGCTGGGCCTAGGCCACTTGGGTGGTCGCGGTAAGATTTAGCCTTTCCGCCACGTGGTCTTCAAATTCTGAGCTAGCTAGAGCGTCGAGCCAACCTGTCTCAAGGAGGTCCGGGTTTTGGTGATCGAAAAGTCCTGTAGCGTGTGGGCATTTTCAAAGAATGTGCTCCATGTTCGGGCATTCTTGTTTGCATAGGATACAGCCAGCGTTGGGGAATTGCCTGGGGTATATGCGGTTGAGGTGCACTGGGTTTTGAAACATTCTCGCTTGTAAGAGCCTCCAGTCTACTTCTTGTAACCTATCTAGTTTAGGGTGGGGTTGTGGATGTATCTCCTTTTGTTTTTTGTAGTGAGTCAATATGTCGTGAAAGGTGAGAAGCTGATCCCTATCATCAAAGTGAAGATCAGTCCCCCTGAGGTCATGGGATGAGTGTTCCCAGCCTCGGATGACGAGTTCGCGTGCGGCAAGGTCAATTTATTAATTTTGCTCAATTTACACTTAGTAGTGACATACTAAAACAGTGAATAGTAAAAAAGAAGAGAGAATGAAGCTTAAACCCCAGGAAGAGAAACACGGCTAGAACAAGATAAGCTGGTGGAAGCAAAACTGAAATCGCCAGCAAAATGTTCGGAAAACTTGATACAGTAACAAATGTCAGAAATAACAAAGGTGGAGTAACACAGGTTGCAAATAAAAATTGCTGCTCGGCTGAAAGTTGAGTCAAGTCAAATCTTAAATGAGAAAGGCCTCACGCGTAGGCTTCAAGCACAACCAGGAAGCACTGGCGCAGCTCCGCGTGGGTACAGCTGCTCAGTGCAGGCACGCAGAGCCTTGCCACCTCCAGTAGGGCAGTGGACACATCCAGCTGACGACAGTGGACTTTCATCAGCTCCCTGCGCCATCAGCTTCCATGAGTTTGTCTCCTCTCTGTGCTTTCGATGCCCACTCTTCAAGGGCAACTCATGCAATTTTTTTAGTTATCATCACCATATTGACTGCACCCACCATACGGCAAAGGCCACGTTGTATATTGTACAAGAAAAACTTTTAACCTCGTCTGACCTTCCAATTTGTTGCCTCCTCTTCACGTGTCTGCCTTGCCTTGAAATCCAGTCAGGGATAGTGGTAAACTATGATTCATGAATTGAAAGTGTCTGCCAAATGTACTCTACCCAATTATTATTATTATAGTTATCTTAATCACATGATTTGGCCCCACAGTCACAAAATACTGAGAGCTTAACCTCGTAAATCTAGGTGTTGGAAATTCTGTCTTCCCGTTATGCTCGATCCTATCGTGTGTGCCTGATACTAGAAGCACTCAGACGATAGTTTAGGCCACCAAAAAAGTGCAAAAGTGTTGTGTGACCGAGCAATATTCTTTCGTGTGATGTATTTCGAGCAACCTTAGACTGGAAGACACCCGACAGGTGCAACAAACAAAAGCAAAAAAGCTAGAGGATGCTTTGCCAATTTGTGGCCAAGTCAGATCATGATGCGCATCTTCAAGAGCTGTAAAATAGTTTCAACAACTATTGCCACTCACATTACACCCCACAAGAGAGAACCACTGTAACCAAGAGCAGTGCACCGTACTTAACCTTGAAGAAAAGAAGGGTAAATTTAAGGGCTCGTTTTCTTTGCTAGACACAATATTAACGAGGACAATAGTAATGAAGCCTTTGGTAGCTTTACATACTGACTTGACCTTGTTAATTTGGGTACCCTGCCCTTTTCTATCTAAGATGTCTCTGAGTGCAGCTTCCCACTATTTCTTCAGAAGAGTGCCGGTGACACTACAAACCAATAACCAGTGCGTTTGAATACAATGAAAAGTAAAGCTACCACCCAGCATTCACTGGTATATAGTACACGTCACACCTCAATAACACACAGATTTTGTGCACGTCAGCACCACAGCATCTATTGGAGTCACTTTGGCATGGTTCAAAACACCTTCAAAAACAAGGCATTGAGAGGCTGCATACACACTCAAACCTCATCGCAACAAAGTTGCCTCTTAAAAAAAATGATATTAATAAATTCGATATATCCAAGAATCCATTATAAAGGTTTATTTCAAACACTGTATCATGCAAGACTAATTCGACTAACTTGTTTTGTTATAGCCGGTATTTCGTTATATCGATGTTTGTTATATTGAGCTTTGAGTGTTGCATGCAGTGTTATGCTGCTAATTATTATTCATACATTTTTAGTGCACACAGCTAGAGCGCTTTACAATTCATGTGAAATTTCCACGCATCATTGCTCACTTGTAGAATGGGACATTTTTTTACATATTTGATTGCAGCAATACTGAACTAAGTGAGCAGTTTAAATTATGGCAAAACAGTGCAAACAACAGTAGGGCAGAAAAGCAACAGTTAGGCACAACGATAGCCCGGCTCGTTTTTTTTTTTTTTTTTTTTTTCATTGTCCTAGCGTCTGTGCCATATCACGATAATGTACATAAACCAAGTGAGCTGGCTAAGAACCCTTGTTCAGCTGTTTAAGCAGCTCAATAAGACAATGTTTATTGCAGAGAATGCTCACTGTTTGGTACAAGTTCTTTGCTGCTCTGCCAAACTGTTATTTTTATTCTTTCTCTTCAACAAATTACACAGTGTTCCCGCAACTAAGAACAGCATTTGTCTCCAATAATACAGAAATACAGACGAGTGGTGTCACGAGGCCAACCAATAAGGTCTGCAAACCAAGCGACTGTGTGTGATGACATCAAAATGTGTGCTTGTGGCAGAGAAAGTCTGCCTCTCACCTGAGAGCGTCAACCAGCAAAAACAGCTCGGCCTCAGTCAGCAGTTTGGCCCGCTCGAGTAGCACCCGCAGCACCAGCAGGGCCTGTGTGAGCATGGGGTTGAATCTAATTCAAAGTTGAACAAGCAACACATACTGCCTGAATGTTCCATGCGCTGAGCCATCGAGCTGCCTTTTGCAGCACGTGGAGCAGCTGGTCAAAAGCACCGCGACCGGCAACATGACGGCTCAGACAGAAGTAAGACAAGGCAGTTCGCAGCACCATCAGCTGTTGTGTCTCCTCCAGGGTGAGCCGTTCTGGTGACAACACCGTGGCAGCTGCACGTTACAAGGTTTTGGATTTAAAACCAACTCCACTGCCTCTCCAGGCATGTCACAGTTGTTACTGATTATTCAAAATGTATCAAAGGTGTTCTGGGTTTTGCAACAACTTGTCATAAAACACCAGTTGTCCAACAACAACAAAAAAATTACACTTTACTCTCAGAGCCTTCATAAGCTCAAACTTAATTCCAATTTTCTTTCTTGTCATCTTTTATCCAATTAATATAACGCCCTCCCGTGCTTGTTTATGCCAGAATGAGACCCTTGCTATGATTGAATGTTCATTGATCACAAGGGTCTTGTTGAGGCAAGCAGTATGCCTTCAGGAAGTATGCAAGGGCTTATTGGTCACCAGTCCACTCATTAAAAAATAATATGCGATGTGACTCTAGCTAAAAAAAAAAAAAAGAACAGTTTTCTACTCCAGCCGTCATTGTTACAAGCGGCACTCTCCAACACTCCCAGATTTGCATGCACATGCACTGAATAAAATAGACTAGAGGACGATCGCTGCCGAAGCTCATAATGTTTTTCAGAGTGAGGCAGTTTGGGGTAGTTGGTATGACATGACGATTGTTATAGTGCGAGAACAGAACTTTGACAAAGAGACAAAACGGACACAAGCGCTTGTGTCCTTTTTGTCTCTTTGTCGTCGTTCTGTTCTCGCGCTAGAACTATCATTATTCGAAGGTTGCACATTCGATCCCTGCCAGCAGCAGGTTGCCTTTCCAACATAGTCTTCAACACCTTGGTGAAAGTGTTAAGCAGGCTAAATCGCAACACCTTAAACCCCCTTTCAGTGCCAAAACGCACAAGCCTGAAGCACCCTTAATGGCCATAATTACTGAGAGAGGCACTTGGCAGTAGAAGGCATCTTCTTTTCTACAGGATATGCTCGCCCCGCTTCGCCTTAATCATCCATTCCTGGTAAAGAATCAAGAGGAGAGGGTCCCTTTTTTTTTCATAATAACCCAGGTAATTACAAAGTCATCAGTATTTATGTAGAAGGTCAATTCGCAAGCTGAACTGCTACTCAGCGTCAGAGAAGCAGTAACTGAACACACTGATGAGTGCAAAGATATGGTATGTAAGTGGAGTCCTTCCTTGAATTGGTAACATTGTATCTGGTCAATACTTTTGAGAAATGAACGAATGCGGTGCATTTCTCAAAAGCCTGTGTAGGTTCCAGAGTTGCTTTTGTCCTCAGTAACATGTACTTAAGCCGCGTTAATAGAAAACTTCCAAGAATACTCAACTTTTTCATTACCGCGCAAAAATGGTTATTTTTCATATGCCTCTCATGTAATCTCATATAATCTCATATAGTTTTTGCCAGTTTGAAAAGTACTCCAGAACGCATTGCAGCATACCAAATTTTTCACAATAAAATGCTCTTTCCAAAGAATATATGTTTTAGAGGAACAAAAATATTTAAAAATGAATAAAAATGTGAAAAGTGTAATTTTTGATTGCCAGCTGGTAAACTGCAATAAAAAAACACTACGAATGCAAAGATATTCCATACAAAAAAATCTAAACATACATTTTGAAGATAAATGACCCAGTAATAGTATAAATAATAATAAATGTTGTACACAATGTTTCTATTGGCATAGACAAAGAAAATCGGAACCAAAGTGCTGCTTCATTGCTCGTGCCTAGAGGTGAAGCATTTCTTGCTTTTTTTTTTTTTTCGTGAGGCGCAAGTGAACTCGTACTTTTCTCAGTAATATGTTTGTATTTTTGAGATAAGAGCCTGCACGTGTTTGAATATAGATGAATGCCCGTGATGTGAATAATCCCTCTATAAACTAGATATCCAATGAACTTCACTATTTCATCTAGTGTCGCCTCTTTCCATGAGCTACCTCACTCCGCATAGGTTGGCGTTTCAATATATACAACAAAGCATATTTCTTTCCAATTTTGCTCATTCTATTAGCAAAGAACAATATCGCGCGCAGTTTGAAGATGTTTCGTGCTTCTCCGCTGTCAGGGCCAAAATGTGCTCCAGTGGCCTTCTTGTCGTGTGGAGAAGCTCTGCAGCCGGCGCCAGCACACCGCGCTCCAGCTGCATGTGGATCTCACACATAACCAGAGTAGCTACATAAGATTGTACACAAAGGTCAGCAGCTATGAATTCACAGCAGATGAGACAACTTGAATCCATAAAAAAACAAAAAACAAACCCACGAATGACTGTCAATGTCCCACGCTGACACAAACTATTGTTGCCATAAAACTTCAAGCTGGAAGCTGTCATCCTCGAACTCCAAGTTTGTCCTCACTCAATTCAGGTGCGGTTACAAGATAGTTTCTCTCTCTCTCTTCTTTTTATTTTAGCAGTGCAGGTGCGCACCCATGCATGCGTGATGCTGCCGCCATAGGAATGACTAGTGGCACTAGATGCGGACCTGTGTCTGATATAACGATGCAAGCGAAACCAAAGCAAAGTTGCTGAAAACTGGCTGAGAAGGCCACCTCAATACTTTATACATGCGCAGGACCCTCAGGAATATATATTTTTTAAAATAAATTTTCCCTATACTCCTAGCAACAGCTCTCTATTGAATAGCTGGCATGAATTTTTGGCAATTATTACTGCTTAACATTGTGAGATTGCAAAGCTGACAACTTAATTTCATACTTGGCTTGCAAAGGTTAAAGTTCTTTTTATTAGATGACCTTGATGTTACTGTAGCATAACCACGAGGGGAAGGCACTTCTGTTAAGTTCGCCAGCCAAATGCATTTTCCGAGCACATTAATTCACACAATGATCTGTCAAAAATCAATATGTAGCCAAAATAGACAAATTCAAATTGATTCTGAGAGTTCAGAGGCTGGACCAACTACTAGAATATTCTGGGTGTATGAGAAGCAATATCAACATGCTGAAATCAACGATCCAAAGCATCGATCACCGGTGATTGATTTGAATAGGTGTGGTGTTATGCCGGGAGCGACATTCCAGGGCGACTTAATATTACAATGGTGGTGCAGTGAGTCTGCTGGGCGGCTGATATAAAAACCCTTTCCACCTGACTACCCGGAGGGACCTTTGCAGCCTGTGAATCCGCCTCCTCCTTTGGGTGGTGCGCCAAACAATGGGCCTCGCATCTGAACTTGTGCCAAGAGCACGCTTTCTACATTCCTGGGCCAGCAACTGCGCCTTGGCGCATTGTGTTCAAGGCCTGCAAGGAGCTAGCTGAGCCAGTGGTGCCGTATTGCTCTTCCCTGTGTCACCAGGTGTGCGTGTCCTTGCACTTTTCTAGAAACTGGTTTGGCGCACTAGTCTGCAGAGAGTTGGAGTGGAGGACGACAATCCTATTGGAGGAACTGAACTGACTTGTCTTCCCTCGCAGTGAATCCGGGGAAGGCAGTGTATAAAAATGTGAGCGCAGAGACGCTCGGGGGTGCTTCATCTGTTCCATGCTGTTCTACGCTACTCTCAACATGTAAATATTGTACATAAACGTTTTCTTCTCATCTACGCTGGCTCTTCAACTCGTCTTCTCCCGGCACTCAGATGGCTCCAGCCGGGACCACGCTACCCAAGGTCGCCACAGTCACGGACGTGGCGGCATGTCCCGACACCTCTTTCCTAACAGTGGATGGCAGCTCGGTGGGATCGGCCAGTGTCAGCTACCCTGGTGTGGTGAGTGCTTGAAGTTTACCTCTCGTTGTGCCAGACCTAACTAGCGCTCTTTGTTGGTAGGTTTTGTTGTGGTAACTTTGTGGGTCGGCCAAGGATTGAATGATTCGACCACATTGTTTCACTCGAGGGTAAATAAGGCAAAGTGAAATGCTCGTAGGGCCAGACCTAGGTAGTGCTCTTTGTTGGTAGGTTTTGGTGTGGTAACTTTGTGGGTCGGCCAAGGATTGAATGATTCGACCACATTGTTTCACTTGAGGGTAAATAAGGCGTAGTGAAACGCTCGTAGGGCCAGACCTGGCTAGCGCTCTTTGTTAGTAGGTTTCGGCATTGTAACTTTGTGGGTCGGCCAATAATTGAATGATTCGACCACATTGTTTCAATAGAGTGTAAACGAGGCGAAGTGAAGTATTAATATGGACAAGTTCAAAGTCCTGGACCTTCTCGAAATTTGCAAGGAGTTAGGGCTTGCGGTTGGCTCTGCTAAGCGGAAACAGCAGATCATCGCGTTTATGGAGAAAGAAAAAGTGACTCTCGAGGAAACCCAGGAAGCTCTTGAGCAAATTCGAGATAGAAGGGAAAGAGAGAAGAAAGCTCAGGAGGATATTCGAGCTGAAAAGCAAAAAGAGCGAGAAGCTCAGGAGGAAAGAGAAAGAAGGGAACATGAGCTTAAACATAGAGATCGGGAAGTTAGGGTATCAGCCGGGAACCATGCTCCCGCAGTGAGGGAATCGGGAAACCCAAACAAGATAACAGACCTTGTTCAGCCGTTCAAGGTTGGCGGAGACATCGCGTTTTATCTTGTTAACTTTGAGCGACAATGCGAGAAAAATAGAATCCCTCTCGAGGATTGGCCGCAAAAATTGCTAGCACTGCTTCCCTGCGAGGCCACCGACGTGATAGCCCGACTTAGTAGAGAGGACGCGGAAGTGTATGACAAGGTTAAAGGGGCGTTGTTGCACAAATATCGCTAGTGCACGGAGGCATACCGACAGCGTTTCAGGCATGCACGTAAGGCCAAGTCACACCAGGACTTCGCCTGTCAGATTAAGGTTAACCTTGTAGAATGGCTGAAGAGTGCGGAAGTTTATGGAGACCACGATAAAGTAATAGAATGCATTGCCCTAGAGCAGTATTACAGTGGCATTCCAGAAGAAACAAAGCTGTGGCTCCGAGATAGGCTCACAGAAATGAATTTGAGCAAAGCGGCTGAGTTTGCCGATGACTATGAACTGCGTAGAAATTTGTGCAGAAAGGCAGCGCAGCCTGAGAAAAATCCAAAGAGATTCGCGTCTAAGCAGTTTAAAGAAAAGAGGTTTTTTCCACGTAACAACTTCCGA